TTGAGACAGAGTCTTGCTCTGTCACCAGGCTGGAGTGCAGTGGTGCAAATCTCGGTTCACTGCAACCTCCACCTCCTGGGTTCAAGCGATTCTCCTGCTTCAGCCTCATGAATAGCTGGGACTATAGGCATGCACTACCACACCCAGCTAATTTTTGTATCTTTAGTAGAGACGGGGTTTCACCATGTTGGCCAGGATGGTCTCTATCTCTTGACCTCATGATCTGCCCACCTCAGCCTCCCAAAGTGCTGGGATTGTAGGTGTGAGCCACAGCGCCTGGCCAGCCTGCTCTAATTTTGATCAAAGATATTTTGGAGCCTTACTATAGGAATAGGTGTTTCATTTATAACATATCATTGAAGATCTTTCCTTGCCAATCTGCCCAGGAGGACAATCTGTGTAGTCATTTGCCCTGTGGCAACACAGGCAGCCTGGTGGAAATTCCTGCTGTACTACAGAATGGCATTTTGCTGCTTGCTGAAAATAACTTGTAAAGAAAAAGAGCTGGTTCCAGATGTTTGTGGGTGAAACATGTTGAAGGGCATCTCCCAAAGCCTGCAAAATGATTTGCCTACAAAGTGGACTTCATCTTTGGGTGAAAAGAGGAAATTACGATTTGCCTCTAAGGTCTGGAAGGAGTTTTTAAGCTTGTCTCATTTTGGATACTGGTAGATGGGAAAGGCCAACAAAATAAATCAGCCAAGGTTGTTGTAATAGGTCACAAAGCTGGGGGCGTCTGCTGGATGAATTAACATCACTGCCAGTTGCTTTTCTCTCCCTGACCCCACTCCTGTCACTCGGGAAAATGTGGTAAAGATAAGTGAAGCCAGGCAGTGCAGAGCTGGCCATGGGAGATCCACAGTCCCATGAGTTCAGGGTCTGCTATGGGGTCACTGCCAGGTCAGCCTCCTAAGTTCTTTTTTTTTTTTTTTTTGAAACAGAGTCTTGCTCTGTCACCAAGGCTGGGTACACTGGTGCAGTCTCGGCTCACTGCAACCTCCGCCTCCCAGGTTCAAGCAATTCTCCCATCTCAGCCTCCCAAGCAGCTGGGACCACAGTTGTGCGCCACCATACCTGGATAATTTTTGTATTTTTAGTAGAGATGGGGTTTTGCCATATTGTCCATGCTGGTCTTGAACTCCTGAGCTCAGGCAATCCACCCACCTTGGCCTCCCAAAGTGCTGGGATTACAGGTGTGAGCTACCTTGCTCAGCCTAGTTTTTTTTGAAACAGAGTCTCGCTCTGTGGCTCAGACTGGAGTGCAGTGGTACAATCTCAGCTCACTGCAACCTCTGTCTCCTGGGTTCAAGTGATTCTCCTGCCTCAGCCTCCTGAGTAGCTGTGATTATAGGCACCCATCACCAAGCCCGGCTAATTTTTATATTTTTAGTAGAGATAGGGTTTCACCATGTTGGCCAGACTGGTCTTGAACTCCTGACTTCAAGTGATCCGGATGCCTCAGCCTCCCAAAGTGCTAGGATTACAGGCATAAGCCACTGCGCCCGGCTTTTTTT